GCGGCAGAGTGGCCGCGCAGCACAGGGCTCGGCACAGCCGGTCTGCACCCAGCATCCCACCCAAGCGCCGCGATGGCTCCATCCCCTGGCAGGGGCTGGACGCCTTCAGAAGGGGATTCGTCACCGGCAGACACCTTGTTCCTTGCTCACTCCCCACCGGAGCAGTTTCGGCTCTGCCCCCAAAACCGCAGGCAGCGGTGACAGGCAGCCCAGGGTGATGGGTCAGGGTCAAGGTGCCCAAGATGGTGCCCAGCTGCCTGGCCCGGTGCTGGTCCTGGCCACGTCCCGGTGCCCACAGACAAGCCTCCCGCCGCCCCGGGAAGGGCGAGTCCTACCTGTCTCGCACTGGCTCCCCAGGAAGCCCTCTGGACAGTAGCAAGCAAAGGACCCAGGGAGGTCCTGGCAGGTCCCACCGTTCTTGCAGGGCTCCAACTGGCACTCGTCTACATCTGGGGAGCGGCAGGAGGAGAGGTGCCAGTTGAGCACAGGAATAGGACAGAGGGCTCAGGGAGGCAGCACGTCTCCACAGGGCATGGACCCTCCCCACATCGCTCGGTACCCCAAGCCCACCAGCCAGGAACAGCCCCAGTCCTGAGGCCATCCAGAGCCCCCTGTCCCACACCTCCCTCCTCTGCATGGTGGCTGTGGCAGGAGCTGGACATAGGGACGTGCCCACAGGGACACCTGGGGAGGGCTGGCACTGTGGGGCTGTGCCAGGAGTTCCCGTAGAGTGCCTGCAGCACATCCCCTCCTCTAGCCCCCAGTGGGCATCCCACCTTCTCCCACCACCATCCTCTGCCAGGCCCCAGGGAGCCAGGCTAGAGCCACCTGCCACGGAGTCCCACCAGTCCCCATGCTGCTCGTCACCGCCTTCAACCAGCACCTGCACACAACCACGGCCACGTGCATACACAGGAGCACAGCGCAGCCAAAAATGCACTGCCTCAAGCTGCTTTCCACCCCCCACCCCCCCCACCTTAGTCAATAACTTTGGAGCCATGCAGGACACTTCCCACCCGGATCCCGAGATCTGGGGCTTCTTTGCAGGGGTTTAACACGCGCCAGGAGAAGTCACCACCCCATCAGTGATGGAGATGCCCACACAGCATCCGTTAGCAGGGGGACACAAGTAGCGCACGTGCCCCTGCAGCCCTGCCTGCTCCTCCACCTGACCAGGAGCCGCAGCTCCCCACCGGCACATCCCACCACTGGCCAGGGACTCCGGGAGAGAAGTCCTCGCCGCAGGCTGATCTGAGCGTGCAGGCAGGAGACCGAAGCCAGCGCACACAACCCCAGGCAGCCCAGCTCCTGGGCACGGGGCTCAGCCCCGCTGCTGCTCCCCAGGGACTGGGGAGCGAGGAGGGGTTTGCTATAGACGGCTGGCACAGCCCCGCAACCTGGCACGGTTTCTCACCTGACTCACAGCGGTGGCCCGTGTAACCCGGCTCGCCCAGGCACAGGAACTCAGCAACGCGGTCCTTGCCGTGGCCGCCATTGAGGCAGGGCTGGGACCAGCACTCATCGATCTCTGCAGCCATTTGGGCAGGGGAGAGACAAGGTGAGAGACATGAGCACCAGGCAGGGGTCCCAGGGGGGGTCTGTCTGCAGATGTGGTCAGAGGAGGACTGGAGTACACGTCCTGGTGTCACCAGGACATGGTCGCGACCACAGCCCCCAGGGCTCGGCCGCTCCCCGGCACTCCTCACCATTGCATTCGGGGGGATCGCTCCAGACACCTGGCAAGCGGCACACGCGGGGGTGGTTGCGCTGACTGAGGGTGTAGCCCAGCTCGCACTGGTACTCAGCCAGCGATCCCAACTTGGTGGAGTTGAAAGAGGCCTGGGCGTGCTTCACCTCACTGGGGATACCACAGTCGACCTCTGGGGAGAGATGGGGGGGTGAGGGGGGCCCGCAGAGGCACCCTGAGCCCCTGGCTGGCAGGGGCAGTGCAAGGCCCTTACCAGACTGGCAATGCTTCCCTACATAGCCCACGGGGCACGTGCAAGCGTAGCCCCCACCGAGGTCCTCACAGGTAGCACCGTTCTCACAGGGGCCAAGGAAGCACGGGGAGGGCACTGGAAGAGCAGAGCAAAGAGTGACTGCTGTGGAACTGGCAGAGCCCAGAAACCACAGCCATTCCCTTTCCCCCTCCCGCAGCACTGCCCTGCCCTCCGGCAGGGTCCAAGGAAGCATCCAGGCACTTCAAATTACAGGGAAGAGGGCTCAAAGCAAGCAGCGACGCTTGCTTGCTGCCGCCACGGCTGTTGGCTCTGCCAGCAGACCCCACACCCCCCCACCCCACCCCTGGCACCTACCC